ACATGTCCAAATGAAGTCTTACTACTGCTGATTAGATGGAGTTTGAGATTTTACTGAGCATGTGCATTCCACTGCTTCTAGATTTGTTGCTGATTATGACTTTTCCAGTAAAGGAGGGTGAGAGTTTGAGCATTCTGCTTGAACTTCACAGGGTTTACATAAACATGACTCTCACAGCAGTGCTATATGTATAAAGAATACAAAATAAGTACTTTTTTTCTTTTGTATTATATCTGGTACTATAAAAGATACATTGGGAATGTTATTTATTTATTATTTGTTATTTAAATACTCTTATCAAACTGTGAAGAATAATTCAAAAAGGGAGAGATTGGTAACTGCTCCTAAAGCTTGCACATTTCATGTACAATGTATCATACAGAGGTGACACATAATGATTATCTTTGAGGAGAAATGATTCTCTTCAGATGTATCTTTGACTACTAGTATTTCATTTAAAGACATTTTTTAATGGAATTGCAAATATAAACATATTTCTCTGATCTATGCATTAAATTTGCTCTCCTTCCTCTCATTTATCTATAACTGATTAATTTATGATCTTAAGAAGAAAATTTTTCAGTTATATATAATTTCTTTTGGTGCATTTTTTCTGACTCACCTACTTACATAAATAGGAAGAGAAACACTTTTTCCCCATCTTATAAAAATATAACTTCAAAAGCTGAGGATTAAATTATTTTATGGTTCAAATTCTTTTTACAGGATGGGGCTTTTGACATGACTTAAAAATGGCATATTAATCATTTACCCATACTCTCGTGAAACATGGACTGATTTAACTATTGTAATTATTGTCTAGAGGCTGGATATTCAGAATGCTATCTATCTTTTTTTCTCATTTTTTTCTCTCACCATCTGACTTTCTTCTTATAAATATATGTATATATGCACACACCATAAATATTACTATTTAAGTATTGCAACACTTTCAGCTTATTTCAAGTAAAATAACGATAATTTTATTTGGTAATAATTGTTATATATGTAGTATTGCTAGCAAATATATACATATATATGCTAGTTTGAGGAAATGGCCTAGATTAGGAAGATCATGTCAAGTTTGAATGATTTGCAATTCTCAGCACACAGTCACATGAATGCTGCTGCTTAGAAATCGATCTCAATAGATTTTGTTTTGGTAGAGCAAAAGGATTAGGTTCCATATTTATATTCTCACCTAGTATAGATTCCTACCTGCTGATTCAAGATGTTTTGATGCTGGAAGAAGTTAAAAGAACCTGGTTGAGTCAAGTTGAAGTTTGAAAAAGATGTTATATTCTTCTCAATTTTCTGTCACGTTTCCTTGTTTTCACCATTTTCCGTGTTCTACAAATACAAAGGATAAAACATCTTTAGTACTTCAGTGTGCCTTTGATAAAGATTTTAAAATCTTCAGCTTAGTAATACCATGTCTATTTTGATTTTTTTTTTCTTTATTATAGGTCTTGTAGTTGACCAGTTCAGTCAGCGTTTGTTCTGGGCTGATTTTGAGTTATCTGTTATTGGCAGTGTTCTCTTTGACGGTTCTGATTCAGTTGTGTCTGTGAGCACTAAACAAGGTATGAAGAACATGAATCCTATCTTATTTTGTTTTGCAGTAATTACATGATTCAGAAAAGCCATGTAAGTAAAAAAATATATATATTAGAAAGTAATATTCATTGATATGTTCAGATAACACTTTCAGATATTATCTAAACAAATATATACTTAAGCTTTTATATAGCCTTTGGGGGAATAATCGTGGGCTGGTATGCACAGATCTCATATTGGTATCTAATTATTAGCTTAGGCAATAATAAATTACCATTTTTTGGCCTCATTTGAATTTGCATTCCATTGCACAAGAATTGTATAACTTAGAGATTAGTCAGTATGAATCGGTTCTGGGGAAAACAGTGGATAGTAAATATGCATCAAATACTACTAAAAATGCAAATGAGGGGAATATATTTTGTAAGGAAAAAGGTTTTGATATAATAAACTCATTTAAAATAAGACTGTTTACTTGATAATTTGATAATCTAATATATATATAACATTATATAATTTGGATAAAAATTTAATGCATTAAATAGGTTCAAAATGGGAAAGCAGTCTGCTCTTGGTGGGCAGTGGGGTGATACTACATCAGGTGCTAATGAGTGCTTTTAAACAGTGATTCACCTGGCGCTTGTGGAGAACACGAGCAAAGGAAACTGAGAAGGACCTATTTTAAATAATGTTATTCTGTTTTAATAGCATTTTACATCATCTCTTGCCTTTAAATTTGTGGAAGCTCCTCATCTAGTGAAGGATAGTTCTGATTAGTAAAGGGACCCGATTACCACTTCCTGTAATAAAGATTCTCACTGCGCAGATGTGTGATGTGAGGTTTTAGAAGACAGTAAATGCTCCTAATACTCTTGCTTGTGTGTCCTTCAGTTGTAGTTTTTAAACATGGTGTGGTTACAGTCTAGCTCAAAACCTACAATTAGACCTAAGAAAATTTGTGGCTTACAGAAAGACTGAGAGTATTAATATATCTTAACAGTAATTTATGTTTTAGAAAGCAATGTGAGTTTATTCTTCAAAGTAAAAAAAAAAAAGCAAAGGTAAAACAGTATAATTAAGCAGGAGAATGCATATGAGATGGCAACCAAATAATCTGTATCACAGACTGTATTCATATACTCAAATACAAGATCAGTAATGTGATGTTACCTTTTATCTGCTGTCGCTGTTTTTAGCAACTACGGAAAAATTGCAGGGTTTAAAAATCATTTTGCAATGATACATAAGAACTTTGATTCATTTAATTAGACAAGTATAAAATAATGAAGCAGAGTTTGTTAATAATTTTATCAAAACAATTTGCTGAGCACCAAGTATTAATAACAGAGTGGAAAAGCAGTAGAAAGAAAGGCTGATAATTGAAACTAAATGCAAATTAAAAATAACACCCATTTTCACAATGAAGATAGATAATAATAGGAACAAGGTATCATAGACAATAATAGGTTCTGGTTTTTTATGCCTTCAAAACAAGAAGAGATGTACCTCTGAATAAGATGCTTTTAGTCAGAAGCTACTGGCTTGTTACACTTGTGAAATTTCACAGGTGAAATTTTACAGCCTGTCCTGTAGAGAAAATCAAATCCAATTTTCTACACCTAGCTCATAAAAAGGAGGAACAATGGACCTTTAGCGTCTTCGTCTTGCATTAATTTAAAGAAGTTATGTATTAAAATAAATGTAATATGAAAATCAGTATTCCTAAATACTAATTCACACAGTGTTCACTGTTCACACAATAAACAAAGAAACAATGATGAAATGTTTTATCAGAAAAAAAATCTAATCTATGGGCAGCAATATATTATGTGTTTTGTTACATGTATCTTAGATGTAGTTAAAATGTTTCAGCTTTTATTTTTGGCTGGTATTTACAATAGAGTTTTCAAGCTTTTCTGTGTTCAAGCAGTCATTAAGGTTGAGATGTGAGAAAAGTAATACCAAACTAGAGAATTTAGTTATGAGTAGTATTTTCTTATAAAAAAAATTGCTTTTAGAAAGTCAGTCTTTGTGGATACAAGCCAAGCTCCCTGAACAATACATTTTTAGGCTGTAATTGGAATGCATCTTAAGTTATTGCTAAAATAAAGTTATTAATTATTTAAATATTTATGTGTATATATATATGTATATTTATTTATTACATATTTTTATTTAAGGTTTACTGCACCCACATAGAATTGACATTTTTGAGGACTACATATATGGAGCAGGTCCTAAAAATGGCGCATTTAGAGTACACAAGTTTGGCAGGAGCCTTGTAGAATATCTAAGAGTGGATGTTGATAAAGCAAAAAGTGCCTTGATTTTCCATCGCTACAAGCAAATAGACTGTAAGTCATCATAATTACCTTATACTAGATTTGGAGTAAATTCATTTTAGGAAAATAAAAAATAACCTGCAGTAGAAAAACAGAGTCTTGCTATGCAAACTGAAAATTGATTTGGTCACATTTCATTATATAGTTTTAATTTAGATTTTAAGCATATTTCCAACCATTTGAAGGGACATTGGACAAATATTGCCATGGGCACCTACTATATAAATGAAGTATTAAAAAAAAAAAAAGCAGAGTTGAATGCAAGAAGTTAGAGTTACAACCAGATGTTATCTTTTATTTGTATTACCAATAAATCTCTTGTCACTTGCAAAATTAGTAAAGTAATTAGAAATGATGCATCTGATGGAGATGACCACTCAGTGTGGGATTCGTGTAGCAGGATGGAGGGCAGTGGTGACCCTCAAAGCACTGACTGCAATGAGAAACCAGGTGAGCACGTACCTCACAATGGTGTCTAGAAATATCAGTAGTATTTTTGATTGACCCCAAGCCATCCATTTTACCTAAAATGAGAGAGCTGAGTGAAGCTGTAAGCCCTAGATGCTAAGTCCTTGCAGAGTTCTCCAGCTGAGTCTAGTCCACAGTCAATGCTGGGAAAGTGTGAGGGTGTCTGTTTTGTGTAGGGCTTCCAACACACTCCCAGCATGTGTGTTAGCTCCACTGGAAGAGGAAAGCTTGCCATGGTCCCAACAACAGCAACAGGAGATATCTCTTACAGCAGCTGGTAAAATTATAGCAAAAACTGGCAGTGCGAAACAAGAGATGTAGAATGAGGAGAATTAATGAAATTGCTAATTCATGAGTGAATACAAACAAAAATTTAGATATTAAATAATCCCACTAGCACAAAACCCCATTGTTTACTTCTTGAATGTCTTGCTTTAACATTTTTAAAATTATTGTTCCTGAAATAAATTCTGTGTTGGCATGAGTCTTGTGCTGCCACTTGAGTGAATGTCTTCACTGACTTCAGGCTACTGACATCCTAGAAACCAGAAGTGCACAATAGTTATGTATATCTCATTATTCATTCTTTTTTTTTCCGGTTTTGTAACATAGTGCAATTATAAATAAGATAATCTTTTATATTTTTTCTCTTCTCAAATAGTGCCCAATCCGTGCTTGGACCTGACATGTGAATTCATCTGCTTACTCAACCCCTATGGTGCAACCTGTGCATGTCCAGAAGGAAAGTCATTGGTCAATGGAACATGCATTGATCTGAACCTGTTAGGTGGGTACTGAAAACTGCATGAGAAGCAGAAAATAGAAGAAATGGACAGTCATTTTTTGTCACGGCAAAAGGCTAGGCTGTGTTTAGGTAGAAGTTCTATAATGTTGTTCAACATCTGTCTTATTAATCTGAAACCAAAATGAAATAATGAGGACCAAAAAACATTTCTTATTCATCAAAATGAAAAATGAAGTATTGAATTTCACTGATATGAGAAGATATGCATTTTTATAAGGGTTGTATTAGACACAGGAAAACAGTTCATGGTAATATCTACTTAATTCTTGCTACGTTTTAGGATAAATAAAGAATGTGACTACTTGTTCTATAGAAGGGAGACTATTAAATACTTAAAATTATAGCACTGTAGTTCTGGTCAAGCCTAATGTGATAAGTGATTAACCAGCTGGAATGGATTTTTAGTCAGCTTAAGTTTTAAAATTTCCAGAAATCATAGAACAGGATCTCTCGTGTATGAAAAGTCAGAATGCATCAGGATGTTCCTCTAATGTTTAATTCTAAGCTCAGAAATTGATCTACGTTTTCGTGAGATCCTTAGTACTTAAAGTGCACAATTTAGTAATTTAATTAATTAAAGTAAAATGTCATCATTCCATTTTTGTGGGGGAAATCTCACCGATTACAGACTTCTTAATCTTTAAAAACTGAAATAATGTAAGTGTTTCAGTGTTTTATGATGTGGGATTAATAAAGCTATCCTGACTAACAGTATTTCTCCTTCTGTATCAAAAAATCTACAATTTTAAAAAGTAGTTTATAGAGCAAGCCAATATTACAGAGCTTGTCCTACATAATGAGCCCATTCATCTTTTTGCTTAAATAAGAGTACAACATATGCATTGTATTTACATCAGCATCAACTTTTGTGTGTATTGCACCATGCTGCTGCAACAATACGGTAAAATAAAACTTAATGGTGGTTCATGTACCATATATTTGCTTATCTGAACTGGAGACTGTTCTGTCTGGATACCTCTGTCTTGTTATCGCAAGATTTTCTGCGGATGCTATACCAATAAAATTTTTTAAAATTGGCCCATACTATTTTAAGTATTTAAGTACTGAAGAAGGGACAAGTGCATAGAAGAATAGAAGATTACTGAGTTTTTTTGTTGATGATTGGTGGTAATTTGAACTCATAGTTTAAGAAATGCTGCAGTTTTATTTGTGAGGTAAGAGATTATGCCATGGTAGAGTTTTCAGGATGTTATGTTTTTATTAAGAAATATCTTGAGGCTATTACATTATTTTTCTGTTATATTTATATAGATAGAGAGCAAATGCCCAGAGAAAGAACACTGATACATTGATATTTTCTGGTATCTTCCAACAACTGTGATATGTTATACCTTTTTATAGGCTGCTGAATACATGTTTCCTAGTTTTCTGATAAAAATATATATATGTCTAGCAATGTATTGCCTAGCATAGCTTTTTACTTGTATATTTTCCTCTCCTGATTGTAGATTGTCGGTTTTGTAGCCTCACAGATTTCAAATTAGCAACAGACGTTAACCTCAGCATCATAACATACTAGCAAGTGTTTTTGTACTCTTTTGACATTTATGAAAAAGTATGAAATGGGTTTTAAATGTTTGTTTATTGCTATTAGCACGCTCAGCTTTGCAGGGATCAGCAGAGATTCTTGTCAAGATCAGACTCGACCTCAAGGTCAGCATCTTGAATGAGCACAGATTATAACTACTGACAGACTGACAAACCACTCATGCTTACGAGGTTTCTAAGAGCCTCTAACCAAGAAACATCATGCAAATCTATAGTAAATGTCTTTTCTTACTGAAAATCAAGTTGTAAAACAGATCTTATTTTGTTCTAAAAAGTTATACAGAAAGAAATATTGTGAGGAAAAAAAAAAATAAAAGACAAGTGCAGGGTCCCAGAAAGGCAAGTTCAGGGTCCTGCACCTAAGGAGGAATAACCTCATGCACCAGTACAGACAGGCTGGGGGTTGACCTTCTGGAGAACAGCTCTGCAAAAGAAGAACCAGGGCATCCTGGTGAGCAACAAGTTGACCCTGAGCCAACAATGTGCCCTTGTGGCCAAGAAGGCCAATGGTTTTCTGTCGTGCTTTAGGAAGAGTGTTGCTAACAGGTCAAGGAAGGTGATCCTCCCCCTCTACTCAGCCCTGATGAGGCCTCATCTCTAGTGCAGTGTCCAGTTCTGGGCTCTTTACGAGAGGGACATGGAATTACTGGGGAGAGTCCAGCGTGGAGCTGCAAACATGATCAGGAGACTGGGGCATCTCTCCTGTGAGGAGAGGTTGAGAGAACTGGACCTGTTCAACCTAAAGAAGAGAAGAATGGAGAACTTGTCAGTGTGTATAAACACCTTAAGGGTGTCAAGAGGATGAGGTCAGATTATTTTCAGTGATGTTTCTTGGTTAGTTTGCCTGACTTTCACAGAGTCAAAATAGTACAGCTATCTATCTAAGGTTCCCAGTTTATCTTGAGTATTGTCCCTCAGGAGAGTCAGTCTCTGAGGACTTCATTTTGACAATGCATTACTTTCTATCCCCTTGAAAAATGTAGGCCAAATGATAATGGTTATTTTTGTGAAATGATGTTCTGTCTTATTGTGGCATTTTTCATCTTGGTAGTGTTTTTTTGCATGACTGTTGTGAACAGACCTTGCATGCTTTGTACAGCTCAGTAGTTGGTTGGTGTCAGGGAATTCCTCTCAGTGCTTTTTTTTCTTGTAACTATGGCCCAAAAAGTGGCTCAGACTCTGCAGTCTGGATTTCACTGGTTTGTTTGTTTGTTTGTTTGTTTTGCTTGTTTGTTTTTAACAAAACAAAATGAAGGTAGGTTTGAAATCTTGCATAATGCCACTAATGACTTGAATAATCAAACTGATTTTTCTTCGTAAGTCCTGTGTGAAAAAAATCTAAATATTGAAACCCCAATAATTTTCTGGGAGAATACATCCGTATTGCTCCAGACAACTGCTTTAACAATATCTGTTGTAGTTGATTAAAACAGAGCTTTTTGCTTTGATTTGGGTTTTTCAAGCCAGAATGTCATTCTGAATCATATTCAAAATATTTTTAAATCAAAATCAAAACCAGTTCCTCTTTAGGGAAGCTTTTTTTTTTTTTTTTTTTTTTTCCCCCATAGCTTATTATGATTGACGGGGCACAAAGTTTTTTTCTGAGTTATGTTGACTGCAACAGACATGACTTTTTTAGTTCAGATGCTCTCCTTTTGATTTTGAATGGGTAGGGTACCATTTTATGTTTACAAAACAAACCAGAGGATTTATACACATTCACTTTATTATATCTAATTACCTATGATGCAAAGAAGCCAAAAATGTTATTAGAAAGATGAAAGTGAAAATGAAAATTTGCACTGAAAGAAAATGGTGTGAATCACAGGAATGAGCAAGAGTCATGGGATGCTTCTGGGAGTTCAGTATTTTGGAGCTGAACATTTATTACTTTCATTTTAGCAAGGGAATATTTGTGCTCTCTTGGCTGGAGGAAAAATTACAAAGGCTCAGATATGATCTTGTTTCTCAAAGCACATGAAACAGTTAATTTATTATGGTATTTCCTGCAGTGTACCTCTGTGGAGACTTGACCATTTCACACTGAGACTGCAGGCAAAGCAAGTACTCTGTCCGGGGATAGAGAGGTGAATCCCAATGCACTTTTCACCCACAAATTCTGCCTCAGGGACTTTTACTACCAAAGCTCTGGCAGTTCAGCCCATGCTATCTTCTTGATTTCTGTCCTCCTTTCAGCCTTTGGTTTGTTTGTTTGTTTATTTATTTATTTATTGATAGCGAATAGAACAGTGCTCAAACACAGAAAGCTTTTTTTGTTTGCAAGAAATCCATCAGTTACAGCAGTATCTTCCATGTTTACAATGGGGATGTAACACTGGGACTGATGTTTTCTAGAAAAGAAAAATTGTATTAAAGCACAGCTGGTGTTTGGCTATTTTTTCTTGTTGTGCATCATTTTCTTAACACTTCTGTTCCATGTAGGATTGTAAAGTAAATGCACTTCATAAAGCATACTCTATGGGAAGCGCAATTAAGTGGGCTTCAAAGAGGGTCTTTCAGACGAAATTTGAAGACTGTAACTTCTCATAGGATGTGACCTGTGGAGGACAGACAGATAGTAGAGGCTTCTTCCACGTTTGGGAGGCAGAAATACTTATAAAACCTTAGCAGAACTTGAGGACTTGAGTCTCTTGAATGGGTGCACTGGCCTTAGTAAATATAACTACACATTTTATTCTCTTCAGGGTAGACAAGAGCAAAAGCCTTTATGCCACCTAAGACTATTTTCTATTGTGCAGAGGAAAACTGTTCTTGTCTCAATATATCCAAAAACAGGAAAAATTAAGTTATCTTTTTCTCAAGAAAGAAAGGATTTTTATAGAAGTAACAATGAAAGAAATGCATGGCTGTGTTTGGGAGAGAGGGATGGAATGTTTAAAATGTGAACAAAGTAAGGCAGAAGTATCAGTAGAGTTCAGAACATTTTGCATTGTTGTTTTTTTAGTATCGCCTCTATGTAAGAATTTTGTTTTCAGTTAGAGGAAAGTGGCAAAAAGCCCTAAGTTTATTAATATTAATTATGAAATATTAATATCAGGAAGAAAAATGCAAGAAAAAGAGCAAATCAAAATGAAGAAATGTTATGATTGAAGTAGGCAAACCAAGGCAGTGGAAGACAAAGTTATCAATCTAGAGGATAATATATAAAATTACATAACCATTTACTTTCTAGCATGTCTAGTAGTAGCTAGAATATTAGCCAAACATTTAGCAAGTGAAATTATTTACCTGTGACATTTTAAGAGTTAATTTGGACAGTTGAGATGTGTTTGAGTTGGAGTTCCAGCAAGTGACTGACCAGTTCTGACTTTACTCAAGATACAAACATTTCTGATTAAAAAAAAAAAAACATTTTTTTTTCTTTGTTCCAATTGAATTTACTTACTAGACATGTTCCCAGTTGTTCTGAAGCCTTTATTCACTAATTCAAATTAAGAGTATTCAGCCTTTCATAATCATTCTTCTGTGTTTCTCTCCTATATTCTTTTTTCTTGCTGTTTTCTACAGGACTGTTCTGTTCCTTTTTTCACCCACAAAAGCATCTGATTCCTCCTTTGTACTCACTTGATGTGAATCAGCAAGAGTAATTTGATTCTTGTATCTACTTTCAGACAACAAAACAGCAGCAGTGAAACCCTTGTATTATTAAAGTCACAGGATTTTAAAACTAGCTTATCAATTACATCTTTCAATCCTATTTCTTAGCTTACTTAAAGTCCAGAATTACTGTAGAAACTTTTATTTGATTGTTTCATAGTTGAGTTACTTTTAATTCACATCCTGAATTTAAAATTTTTGATAGAAAAAGCAGAGAATAATAAAAATTCTGTGATGATCCAAAATATTGAATCATTTCTTATTTTTCTTTCTCATTTCTTTCTCAGAAACTTTGTCAGTTGAGCATCATATATAGTTATTTAATATGTATTGCATTTAAAAGGTATGGGACACAAATGTCCTAATCTTGAAAAGCCAATTAGATTAGAAAAGCTGTAGCACAGGCAATTTTTGATCCAGTGTTTTATGAAAATATGAAAGTTAGTATTTCCTGGTGCAGTTAGGATAACTGTGATGTTTGTAGTTTATGTCCTATAGTTATAAATGTGCCTTTTCATAGTGTATGTTGAATTCATGGAGTCTCTCTCAATATATTTTTCTTAAATTTTATATCTTAATTTTTCAGAGTTACTCTAGAAAAAAATAGGCTGATATCTTAAATTTTTTGCTATAGTCATAAAAGTGAGCACTTTGTCCATACTTTGGTGTCCTTTGTTCGTTTTTTACTAAGCTCTGCTCTATAAACTCATGAGTAATGATAAGTAAAACAGATAAGCTAAGCAAAAAAAACAGTTTCTGTCCAATAAGATATGCTACATTATTCACTTAAACAACTTCTATAATAAGTAACTGAAGAAGGGTTCATGGGACATCAAAGGATTTAATGAGCCACCTAAATAAATAAAATCCTGAGGCATCTTCAGACTCCCAAATGTGAAGTAGCTTTGTTACAACAGATTCATATAGCCAGGGTGGATACCAGTAAAATAAAGACATTTCATATTTTTATTCTAAACATCAAAACTCATGAGGTTTGTACATGTTTTGCCAGTCAAGTCCCCTGCGACAGCTTCCAGAGTCATTGCCTCGTTTCGAGTTCTTGTGCAAGAAGGGTCACAGCGTCAGGACACAAAAGGCAGGTGAAGACCCTGCTTCTTGCAAGCTTTTTCCCTGCAGTTTGGTCCTGGATTTCACTTGAGCACCATCTCGGCTCTCGCCTTGACAAGAGGCAGCCAAACCCCTAGGAGGAGGGGAGTAGCAGAGAGAGATGTAAGTTAGTCTATGGGAAAGGCTGCTGCAAAAGCCTAGTTATGTTCCTGAGCTCTGTAGGGTCTGGGCTTAAGAGAACAATTCTCAGGGCCTTGATCACACTTAAAATTTCGAACAGAGACCAAACCTTATAGATGAGATGTCTCAGCTGCAAAGCCTTACAGCTGAGATTTTCCTAAATTCAGCACTTGAGAAGCTGCCTCTTTCTTTAAGCAGCAGGAGTAAAAGGTGGCATGCTTGTGTTAGTCAGTCTTGGATCTGGACAAGTATAGGAGATAAAGGATACTCGTACTGTTTTTCATATGTTGTTTAACTAAAACTTCTTAATTCGGCAAAACATCATTGTTACTGATGGATCTATTACAGAATGGTCTCCGTGTTTGCCTTGTCCCTCTGTGAGAAGGGCATGTAGGTTCAACTGCTGGATTAGTTAGACGTCAGTCTGGCTTCACAGATTTCATTTTTCTGTGTGAGAAATGAAAGGCCGTATTGTGGAAGGCGTAATTTGACCTGAAAAGGTGCTCGTCCTTCTCTTTCAGATTACAATTATTTGGTTGTTTGAGCATTGCATGCAAGCTATTCTGTAATTAATTTCTCGCTGGTGTCATGAAGTGATTTTATTTCTTTCTCATTGACATGAATAGAGAGTTATTTCTCATTGTGTTTCCAAGACACAACTTTAATTGAAAATAACGCTATGGAAAGATTGAATCCAGTCTCCTCAGGGTTTGTGTTACCCAATAGATGGGAGCTAAGAAAGTGGCACCACCTTCATGAGCACTTGGTGCCCATGTGGTGGAGGCCGTGCCTTTCATGCAGGAGAGTCTACAGTGTCAGGGGAATGAGGAGAGCACGCTGCCCTCAGCATGGTCTAGAGCTCCGGACAGCCTTTCCAAGGAGGGCTCATAGGCTCCTAAAAGTATATTTTATCTAGCACTGTGGAGCAGCAGTAACAGTTTGCTCTCCATCTGGAAAAGTGAATTTCCCCTGCCTCCCTTAGTTACTGGGAGCTGTACTTAAAATGCCTCAGAGTGCTGGTTTGCTGGTTACGTGAAATGCAATTGTAGAAATTGCTGAAAACTCCAGTGATGTCTGTGTGTCTTTGCTGCAGATGACACGTGCAAGCTGACGTGTGAAAACGGAGGGAAGTGCATTATAAATGAGAAGGGCGAGCCCCGCTGTCACTGCTGGCCGCGCTATTCCGGGGAGCGATGTGAAACCAACCACTGCCACAACTACTGTCAGCACGGGGGAACCTGCGGAGCCTCTGTCCTCGGTAAACATTCCTGTGCAGCTTTAGGTTGTTCTTGTAATGACCTTAATGGAAGCGTTTGAATTTATTCCTTGCTTTTTGTTTTTTGTTTTCTTTTTGTAGCCTTGTTCCTTTGTCTAAGCATAAACTATACGCAATATAGCAGTATATACTGTATGTATACGTTATACTAAGTAGTGCTGTTCATTCACCATTCACATATCTCAGTGTTTAAGCAGAAATAAATTAGATCCCACAAAAGGGAGCATGTAAGTATTCATTATAAAGGCACAAATATTAATGAGTAGAAAGGGAATTGTAAAAGCAGTTTAAAGGCCAAAGCCTAACCACTCCTGGAGACGAGCTCATCTCACACGTCTTCCCCATACCTCCCCATACTCCTTCCCTTCTATCTGAATTCTACCTTGAAATTTTTAGATGCCGCTCTAAAGTTTTAGGTCCTATTGGTCTGTGTGTAGAAGTATGTACTTAAACTAGACATGTGACATCAATCTTTTACCTATATCTTATTAGAATGCACAAAATTAAGCATTTTCCTCATGTGTGTCTCAGGAAAATTCAGTTGATCAGAATTCAAATCCTTTATTTGCTTGAAGGAATTTGAAATCACATCTCTTATCTACTGTGAGATTATCTGAGCTGCCAAGCCAGAGATATTTGGGAGCTGATCTTTGTCCCTTATATGTAGCTTGTGCAATGTAATTAAACAGTGTTTGGGCTAGAGAGAGGTAGTGTGATAAGAAGTGCTCTATAACTTAGTAATTATGTTAGAAAGGGGAAGTTTGAGTTTTCTGCTCCGAGGAATATTTAAATATTTGATTCATAGTGGAACAGCTAGAGGGGCAATTTGAAGTCTAGGCTCTTCTCAGAGAAGTCTATCACCTCCTGAGGATGGTGTGAATCATTTCTCATGTGTGATGAAAAAAACAACATCTTAGTTTCTGCAAGAAAAGTGCAGGCACTTGACCTTAAGAGAGGAGCTTGTCACTGGTTTTTACAGATGAAGGGAAACAGCTCCCTGCAATGTGGGAAAATTATGTATTTTAGTTGCTATGATTGAGGGTTACAACCTAGACTTTGGTATTTTCCTCAGCATTTCATTTTAATTAACTTAGCCTATTTATTTTAGTTATTTAACTTCCCTCCTGTACTGATTTCTGTGGATCCTTGCCTTCTTTTTACCTTCTTACTTTATGAGATGTGGTGTAAAAATCCAAGTGAAGTTAAATGTAGTAATATATTGTAGTACCATTTATAGTGTATATCAGTAATAATTACTACGTATTAGAAAGTGAGAATTCTTTGTAGTTGATATTGATCAGTTATACTTGGACCTGCTTCTAACAACTCATAGAACTACTGACAGAAATGATAACTTGAGATTTTTATCAATTTAGTGAGATCAATACATGTTTCGTGAAGACGTGCAAGTGAAAGACACACATGTAATTTAAATGACATGCAAAAATTTCACCCAAACAGACTGTATTTAATCCCACATCTCTTCATATCTGGTATTTAATTGCTACTTCCATGGGGTTCTAAAGTTAATGCCTTATAATAAAATAATAATAAAACTTAGCCCTTATGATTCATCTCACTTGTGGAGCCTGCAGAAAACTTTGGAGTCTTCTTCCTTTGGGTGGTAAGCATGGAACTCACTTCCCCAGCTGCTTCTTTCTTTACTGGACAACTAACAGTTTCTGTGGTCAAACTTACACTATATCATGGACTTTTCCTTTTTTGTGCTAAATGTGACCTCTAAAATCTCTTCACTGATTGGATGGCATAATTAGCATAGTAGGTTTGGTCACCTGTGAATGAAGGAGAGCTACGGGCATATCCTACAGTATGCTTCGGCTGTGACTGCAATCCACACACCACTTTTGTGATTTTGGGAATCCAGATCTTTAAATCTTTAACTTCTTCAGAAGTTCACTGTGCCACATCTGGCCAAAGCATGCTAAGCTTTGTAGGATGAGAGCAACGTGGAGCCATTCTTGTTCATAACCAAGGGAGAAATGGATCTTAAACTTGCAGCTGCTGCCTCTGAGTAGAACGAGGGCACCTCACTCCCAAGGCTGTCTGATGTTGAGAGTTCCTGGACATACCTGCTCATAGGAATGTTCTTTGGCTGTTTTGTTTCTCCTTTTCTAGTTTGATTGTTTTTTTTAATAACCATTATTCAATTTAAGTGAATCTCACATACGCCATTCCTATTTCATGAGTGTAGTTATGCCTTGAAACCAGTGCCATGTGCTGGCCATGTGGGGAAAAGTACCATGGATCTTTGCAAATCAAGGTGACTCCATCCAGCATTCCAGATAAAATTTGCAAAATGATCCCAAAATCATCTTCCTTGCAGGCCTTTCCCCTAGACCCTATAAATATTCTATTAAGAGGAAATCTCTGTTTCTATCACACTGTATTTCTTATCTATATCAGACCATAAATCCTGTCTTCCTGAAACAAACTACCATGCCAGCAAGATATCCCCGTATCCTAATTTAATCCATGGTATACTGAAACTGTTAGGTATCCTACAAGAGGAAGCTAAACCGAACTAAACAGGGTACATATAGGACACTACAGCACCCAATACATATAATCTATTAACAAAACTGATTGTATAATGCTTCAAGTATTTTTACAACAGCAGTTTCCTTTTTGCACCAAAATATACCACTATGCTAAGCATCATCCGGTCAATGCACTCAGTCAGTGCTCATTTGGCTGCAAGGACTGCAGATACAGTTCACAGTTTGGACCGAGGGTGTGAAAGCCAGCAGAGACCAGCATCCCCCCTCCCTTCTCATTATCGAAGCCTTCAAGAAAGGGCTCCTCTGCTTCGTCAGACTCATGTGAGAGTCATTAGTGTACACATTGCTTTAATGTTGCACCTTGCAACAGCCAGGAGTGTATAGGCTCTGTATTCACTGGAATTATTCTGTTTTTCCTTCATGGTTATCGAACTTAAGCATTGTAGTAAGTGTCCAGATTTCAAGTACTGCATCCTACCAGACTGACTTGTCCACTAGCAATAGGTATATTAATTTTTTTTTCTTTTTTTTGTGGAGATTCTTTCATGTCTTGAAAGTACAAAATTACTATGTAAATTAAGTCAGTCCAATACCATTTTCATTTATTTTACTATACTATTCCTATCTGTGCATTCCAGCTCCCACATGAAAATATTCATGACCAATTCCTCAAGAAGCAGCAGTTACATTTTTCTTCCTTTAATCAATTGGCTTATCAAACTCTCATACTAAACTGATGCAAAAGTTGCACGTATTTTCCAAATGTTCTTCCTTTTTTTTATTCAAAATGTTTGAGCTTTTTTCTCCCAAAGTTGCATATGTGTGTTAGTGCCGATCCAAATTCTATCTGCAAAACAGAAGTTACAGAGATAACTTCAGTTTATTTGGAATCCAGCTTTCCTAGAAGCCCTAATTGCCCTTATTGATCCTCTTGTAGTGCCCAACTCACGTAGCCTGGATACAGCCTATGCAACAGGCATCCTTCTACGTGCATCCCCTTTTGGGGCTGTGAGTGCAGTTACATTACACAGATGCAAGAGGTGTCTCTGGGCCAGTGTGGCTATGAGCAGGGGCAACCGGGTCACCATGCAGATGGGTGGCATGGACCAAGCATGGTGACATAGAGGGTGGACCCTGTAGCTGCTGAATTTCCCCCTTCCCCTGGTTCCAAGGAGTCATTTACTGTCTGTTTGTTCTGCCACACACCAGCACCTCTAAATTTGGGGCAAAATCTGGGATATTAGCTCATCCTAACTGCTGTTGCCAATGTTTTCTGTCTCCTCATGGGAAACTTTTTCTGTCACGTGCTACTGGGGTTTGGTATTTTCCCCATGGAGGGAAATGAGCTTCTGTAGGGTCACAGCTCCTGGGATGCTTCCCTGGCAGTCAAAGATTTTCCTTACTGGTTTGAATCATCCTGAAAACAAATCTTTCATCATACTGTGATATAAATAAAATGACACAGCATATACAATACACTTGTACTGAAAGTGAGCTTGTATTCTCTTTCACCACCTAACGTATGATAGTAATGTGATAACCAATTAACTAAATTGCATAGTATTACTCATTTTTTAAAACGTGATTGTGTTAAATCTTTGCTGGATGTGGTAAGTTGTAGAACCTCATTATCTGCACACAAATGTTAATTTGTTAAACAAATCCCACTGGCAATTCAGGGATTATTCACTGTTGGTTTACTTACTGCTAAGCCTTTTGGCAAATTCCTATGTGAACATTATATAGCTAGAGATTGGGGCAGCCTTAATTAAAATTTATAAGTTTATGACAGTTGTATTGAACTACAGTAATTGAACAAAGAAAATGTCATCAGTTAATTAAAAGTACACATCCGAGACATGTAATTAAAAGTTTGGTTATAATAATGAACACTTTCCAATAGACTGAATTAGTGGGAATTTTGGAAAAAAAAATGTTAACATGAAAATACACTTGTTTTTTCTTAAAGTAAAAATGTTTGAGGAATAATTTACTAAATGACTATATTAACTAGATTTAAATAGCTCGTAAAATTACTTAAATACATACTTATACTATATTTATTGCCCCCAGTGTTTGTCTAATCACATAGAATTGTGCTTGTATCAAAATAAATAAAACATTGTTATTTCTTTCCATGGAATGAAAATCAATTAAATAATGCGCTCCAAAATATTAAAGATTTTGTATGAAGTAGGTACCTAATTGTTCTCAAATAATTCAGTGTTGTATTCTGTAAGCAATCAATACAGGCAGATTTGGGGATACAGCAGTGAATGTATTTCCATCACTTGTGTCATGCTGGGGACTGTAATGTCAACAGGGACACCCCTAACAGGATTTCTTCCTCTCTAAATACTTATGCTGTGGTTTTCAAACTGCAGCATTTTACAGGTGGCATGTTAAGCATATGTTGTTACCTTGTCACTCTTACTTTATTTGAAAACAATATAGATCAACATAAATGAGCTAAACAACAAAGTTTTCTTGGATTTAATGAAGAGTCTTAAGAAAAGGAGAGGTTAAAGCTAGGATGCTGACCTGTAGTAAGACAGAAAAAGGAAACAATATTCTCACGCGGTATTGCAATGAGGAAGGAGCTGCAAATAGGGAAATACTTCTTTCTTTCTGAAAGTTGTTTTTTTCCCATTTTGCATAAGACAGATCAGAAAACGGATAGCTGGAAATTTTAAATTTGAAGTAGTTAGCAGTCCATAGAACACTTCCCCAACTACAATTTTTCTATACTGTAATGTATGTTGTGAACATTTCAGCGGTGGCTGAGCTCAGGGGTTCCAAGACAGCTTTCCTGCTGTTTCCGTACAGCTCCAATCCTGAAAGATCATGATCAGTGTAAATGCTCATGTTCTCTGCGCACGAGATTAGCATGAAGTGGCCGTTAGCTTTGATCTATAATATCTGGGATAGCATAACTATTTGCTTTGCAAGCATGAAATAGTGTTCTGACACTATGATAAAAAAACTTATTGTTTAAAGTTTTTTAACTTTAATTAATTAACTTTAATTAAACTGACATTGTTTAATATTGCAATTTTGTTAAAATACCCTTGGAATCTTTTTTTTTAATCAGAAATAATTTATGAAAATAAGGCAGATGAAAATGTTGTTATTATTATTGTTATTATTATTATTATTTCAGATGCCTACAGTCAATGTATAAATATACAATGCACTATTAATATTACTAAAAGTCATGTTAAATTGAGGGACAAAAATGGAGTTTAGGCTATACTGAATTAAATTTTCATCTAACTGTCAGCAATTTGGCATATTTATAAGTCTGCTTTAGTAAGAATAGAGTAATTTACTGTACAAACTAGGAAAATATCTTTGCCCCATCATTTTACAAAATAGAAGAATATTTATAATAAAAACTGAATTTAGACCTCTGTATCATATTCTATCACTGTTTTATTTTAATTGAAACACTGATTCAAATTAAGATTATGTGAAAACCCATGACTCTGGGTTAGAAATTTGAATACAAGTGTATACTTAGTGGGGGAAGAGTCTGTGCTAACATCTGAGTTCAACATCTTTGATTTAATGTTTATATCACAGAGGACAGATATGAATAACCAGGCTGATGCATATTAAACTGGTTGGAGCTATTTTAAGTCAATGGTTTTGTTCCTACTGTACTCATTAGAGGAAGAGACTAACTGATCTCATGGCCTTTAGGATGATTTGCAAAACAGTTTAATTTAGCATAGCTTAAAATAGAAAATATGGAACAGAATTAGATGAAGGATTTTAAGTAACAGAAGGCTAAGAATTAGAGGAAATAAAAATTTGAGTTTGAAAGTACATGTGGATACGCATACCAGACAGCATATAAAAATATGCTAAGGAAACGGTCAATTGAGGCAAAAGGCAGCAGGGCAGGGACCAAATTATAAATCTTTAGCAAATCAGGCAGCAGAATGGTTTTCCTCATAGATTAATATGAATATCAGAGGAAAAGTTATGATTATGGGAAAGTAACTTTCAATCTGGCATATTTTCCTATTTTGTCTTTTGGTGTTTGTGCAAGGATGCTGAATGTAAGTATGCTACAATCACTGTTCTACAGAGGCTATTCTGTATATTTTAAACAATACTACATGCTGCTCAGGACCACACCAACCATAGCCTCTCTTGTACGATCTCTAACCAATCTTTCATGAAATGGTATTTATTTATATCTAAGAACATAGTTGTTATCTCATGGCCTGGTGTGAATGTTTATGCTGTAAATGTAGGGTTACTTGGTATCTCTCATTATTAAAGGCATTTTCTGACTTTTTATAATCTCTTTCAGATCTTTTTTCAGATTCCAAAGTCATGTTTTTATTCTTGATTGAGCAGTCAATAATAAGAAAACAATACTATGTTTTTCTTGTTTATGCCTGTAATTCCAGTGCAAAGAACTTTTGCATCACAGACATGGTGCATGACGTAGTCAGCATGCTGATCTGATTGATGATGACCTTTTTTAATGGGTAGCTATGCCATTCCCAGCAAAGACTAGATACCAAGTTAATTTGTACTGGCTTTACAAAAGCCCAGCAGTTCCCTTCCTTCTCTAAATTGGCCACAGCTAGTTATATTGCTCTTCCCATTGAAAGCTAGACATTTTAGTTCTCTATCTTATTTCTGAAGACTTTTACAAGTTGCATAAAGCATGTGTGTTACGGTTTGGGTTTTCTGTAGTGTCTCCAGTAGGTATTCCTGTTGTTCTGCCTGTCACCTCTTTTCTGTTTGGTTGTCACCAGCCTATACACAGTCCTTACTCGGAGATGCAAAGTTTTTGTGACTTTACTCATAGAAATGAGTCCTTGCCTATTAGCTTTCCCCATCTCTGCAGTTTCCTGGTTTCCTTGTGATCCAAAACAGGTCTTGCACTCAGGTGCTTCTGTAACTAAGAAGGGTCCTCGGGTCCTGATTAATCCGCATCTCTTTCCTTACCCATCTTGTCAGCTGGGAAGAAGTAAAAGAAACTCAGTCTGCTTTCCATAAATTTAGGAAAACCCAAAAGGTTGAGTGAAAGAAAAGGGTAAAAAGGATGAAGAAGGGGGAGGAAATTTTACGAGAAACAAAAAATGAGAATAAATTAATAAAAAGTGTGAAGGGAGAGGGCTGGCTGGAGGCATCAAGGCGTTTGACTTGAAAGGAAGACTCCAAATGAGGTATAGGAGCAAAGTCAGAAGATGGGAAGACATAAAGAAAATAAACCTGGAAGATGAACAAATTAGTGAAAAGAGAAAGAGTTTAATGAAACAATGAAGACATAAAGCTATAAAGCTTGTAGACATGAGGTTTAGGTGAAGGAAATTATTGAAAAATTAAAACGGAGAAAAATCACATCAGGAAAATGGATCGGGTACTTAGACACTATTTAAAAATCCCTAAAAAAATCTGCCTTTTTCCCTAGGTGTTTGCTACTTTTCAGATATTTGATTATGGGCATTACATGCACCTTTGGTCTAATAGAATATAGCCATATTTAAACTGCAGAACAGGTACACATTTGTGGTCTACTGAAAGCTGTGTTATGTAAAAGGGACATTAGTGTGCTATTAAGTATGTGTCTATCCATGTGATTTATATAAAAGATGGCAGATTTGAAAATAATCAAGTACATTCTGAGGGCATTGCAATGGTGATCCTATAACCCTTAGTCTTCTGCAATTAGCGCAACCAAGTCTGGCTGGCTGATATGAAGAACTTTGAACCATTTATGCCTCTAAAGTGATATTTTAAATAATTCCGAAATGAATACTTAATGACCAGGCACATGCAAGGAGAAAATGAAGTGATGCAATTTTTGAGTTGTTCATATCTTACAGTGCTAACCTTTTTAGTGTTAATTTGTTTTAAGAACTTTCTTTACTTTTTAATATTAATTTGTTTTCTTCATAAAATGTTTGTTTCAAACAGGGAGGCCTACCTGCAGTTGTGCACTGGGTTTCACAGGACCAAACTGCAATCAGACGGTCTGTGATCGTTTTTGCCAAAACGGAGGAACCTGCAGTGTCACTGCTGGAAATCAACCCTTCTGTCGCTGCTTGCCTGAGTATACAGGAGATAGATGCCAATATTGTAAGTAATTTTCCACAAAATCCATTTAAATATGCAGGAGAAGAAAGTGTTTGTATAAATGGTTTATTTCAGCATTTTGTTCAATATCTGAAATGTACAAGACAACTTTGTTTGTCAATGCAAATGAGATAATTGTATTAAAATTTTCTACTTAAACATCTCACATTTGCAAGTGGAAATTACAGAATTAGTGAAATGCCATATTTGGTTAAAATATGGGAAGGTCTCTGGTATCTCCTAGATGGGCCAGCACCTGTGTTTCCAACTGTGACCTTGTCGTTACTTTTTATTTCTAACCTGAGTAAACAGCATACTGACAACCACTGCTTTGACTTTCATTTCTCTATATTACTTCATCTCAAAGTTACAAAAATCAGGGTTTTTTTTTAGCTATTCCTCTTTGTTAATGCTCACAGCTTAGGTTTTGCCCATTGCAACTGAGGTTCTCATGCTGACTAACCGGTCTTTTCTCACTGTGATAAAGTTTTCCAAAGATTTCCCTGCCACTTCTGTCTGTTTGGAATTTTCTGTAAATTTTCAGATCTCCAGTAGAGGAAAAATTAACAATCAATAAGAATGGAAGATTCTTATTCCATTTATGTTTGTTTGTTTTCTCCACACTCTATATGCCTTTTTTCCAGTGAGGAAATGTGAACATAGTCTTGAATTTCTTCTGGTCACTTTTTTCAGAATTTTGATTTGTCTTCCTCAAGTCTCTGTGAGAGGATTCCTCAGTAACACTTCTAATGTAAAAGTGATTATTGTTCTGAGATCAGGTTTGTTTTGTCTTTTTTCTCCTCTTCTGCATTCCTATTTTTCTGTGACTACAGCACTCTTCTGTCTAAGATTATACCATTAGGAGTACTTGTTCTTTTTCCTTTCCCGATGTGCCCAAAACATACAAAAATACAAAATTTGCCTTCAAAAATAGAGTTATTTCTATTGTTATTTCTCAAATATGGGAAATTTATTTGATACTTTCCTTTGGTAAGTAATTTCTAAAAAAGATTGTAAAAGATTGCTCTAAGAAAGAGGATTTAAAAAAAAAATCCGCAAAGTAGTTTGTAATCTCTATGTATCACTAGCCTCTTTGAACATGAAGGAAATAGTCTTTGGTTCACTTGACCATGACTGTTTTCTTTAACATGGAAACAGAACTGTTACAGATCCATGCTGATTCTTCATGGGAGTTTCTGTTATTTGGATGATAGAAAATGTTTTTTTTCTTTTTCTGAGTATTTTTAAATGTCTTTGCCATTAAAATAGATGTACACACATACACACATGCACAGTCCTCCCTCTGTTTGCCTCTCTGTCCATCTTTCTCAGTCTTTCTCTCTTTTACTTCTCCATCTTTTTGAAAAATAGATATGTAGATTAAAATTTTATATTCATGTGATTCTTTTGTTTACCACCTGCATGTCTTGAATGGAAAAAACTCACATTAGCTGGGACAAATTAAATTGCCTTTTTAATTTCTAATGCCACAAGGCATCATGTAAGAGAAGACACTTTTGGTGATTGAAATGTAGGGTTATATTCATGATGCTCCATACCACCTATTTTTGTCTTGTCTCGTAAAGCATGAAAATGTTTTATAAATGAAAGCACCTGAGAATTGCTAGTCATGCGGATGCTAAGTGTTACAATATCTTTCTTTGCAAGCAGCTGCAGAAGAATATAAAGGGGCATATTCTTTTACAACTCCTGTCTAATCTAATCAGATTTGGATATTAATAATGTATTATATCTTCTATTTAAAAAAATAGAAGATTGTCTGAGTGCTTGTTATAGAACAGAACATTAAACGTGAAATTCGTCATTTCTTTGTTACATAATTGAGTAAATTAACCAAAGGAGGCTAGATTTAAACCAAAGGGAAAGTGGCTGTTGTAAAGGTCTGATTTAGAATTACAGACCAAGGTACAAGAAGTATTTAGTGTTATTGGAAGGTCCATCAAACAAGAAAAGGGTTAGTGCATATCTGAAATAGGATTTTTACTGAGGTAAACTGAATGTATTTCCAGTTGGAAGACTAGAAATAAATTGAAACCTTTGAGTGGAAAACCAGCAGTAATTGTGATTCCATCCCACTTGGTATTAAACAAACTGCATGGATCCACAAATAACTATCTGCAAACACAATTGGGTATTTGAAAGCAGTATAGTACATAAATCATGCACAGACAGACATACAGATTAAGGAAAAATATTTACTTGAGGCTTACCCAAAACCAAACAAATTGTTTCTAGTTGAATGCTTCTGCATACACCTTTTTTTTTTCTTTTTTTTTTTTAAAGAATTAATTTAAATGTAAATTTAGGGGTTCTTTTAAAATAGAGCACTTATTATCAGATTTGGATTGTCTACTGCTGTTTTGGAAAAATGCCACCATTCAGGGAGATTCAAGCTTATTAAAGAAAACAAAATAAGACTAGTTTTTTGTTTGTTTAAACTTAATATTTGTAGGAAAATGACTTTCAGAGTTTTAGACTATTTTAGTGAGGAGTTTTGTAGAGCTTTAAAGGTTCACAATTAATAGTATAAATGTAGACAAACATACATGTATGACTTTTTACTCTATTCGACCTGTTCACTTGCTAGGTATGTTGGAATATATTAATATAGCTTTGTTACAAAGATTAGTTGCCTCAAATTATCTTTTTTAGTCTTTTTATGATGTAACTAGAATGGATTCATAAGGAAAAATGATACATGAAAGTGCAAAGGTATTTTATTCATACCTCCAAGTTGAAAATATTATTGGTATTTTTCGTGGCAAGGACAAGACATTTACTTGCTGTATTGCCAGACTGTAAGAACCTTGAGGACCTTATTTTCTTCACACATATCATTTCCAATTACACAATGCAGAATTTCTCCTGCAATGAGTTCACATAAAGGCTAATAACCAAAATGTGCTTCATGTCAAAGCACTGGAAAAATGAATTTAAAAGTAAATGAATTTATATGGAATTCCACTAAGGTTATGCATGTGATTATATACACGTGGATTTGATGAATTTGCATATGGCTTCTTACTCAAAATTTCTGAAATGAGACAGAATATCTTAAGTTCATGTACTGAACCATTTGAGGACCAAAAAAAAAAGGGAAACACTGACTATAACTCAAAAGTGCATGTAGTGATCTCACAAACTGTTATTTTTCCTGAAACTGAATTTTTTGTAGAAAGTATTATTATTCATTCAATTCTTATTTTTCAACTTGGAGGAATCTTGTATTAACAACCCTGTTTTTACTTTCTGTTGATGTGCTTTTTTTGTGTGTGTGTGTGTGTGTGTGTGTTTTTATAAAGTATCTCTTAATAATAGTTTTTAAAACAAAAATAGATTTTTTAAAGGCAAATAGACACTGCCATCACTGCTGCCTCGGTAGTGATCATATAGACTCATCATCGTCGTGATCAGTCTATAGTTTGCGTTGGTAGGTGGAGATGTGCAATGGATGATATGCAAAAACCCTCCTCGAGCAGTGAAGCAGGACAACTCCTTTGTCCTTCATCAGAGTTCTTTACAAGAGTCGGAGTAAAACCGGCCTGCCTGACAGCCCATAAATATGTTTCAGAGTGGGAAAAGAAAAAACACAGAGAAGTATAAGGAAAATGCATTTCCCACTTTGAGATGCCCTCACCAATCATCCAGCAGTGTTGAATGCGCTCAGGAAAATATATCAATTTTAGTAGTCTCTAATATGCTCTTTTCAAGGTTCCTTCCAGTTGAACAACAGATTTGAGTGTTTACACTTTCAGATTCAAGGCTGAAGGTGCCATTTGGCCAAAGTTTCTGTTTCTAGTGAATGGCTTGATAATACTCTAATTCTACTGAGGGATCGTCAGTCATATCCTGAACTTTAATAAAAAGGAACTTTTTAGTATTGTCAGAAAGGTAATATTTGGTTTATGTGGAACTTTTCAACTCTAAGTTAACAGAGACAAATAGTTCAGAATTGTATGTTGTGTTTCAGGTATTTCACCTGTCTGTCAGGAACATGATGAAAAGCTCAAGGCAATATTAACCAGTCAGACCTGGAGAAAGTGTTAGAGGCAAAGAGATTTTTAGTGAATTGGCCCTGTTGAGAAACTTAAATGACAGGAATTTTTAAAAGAGCTTTTAATTTAAAAGAAAGTTGTCAATACTGCATAAATGGAAATGAACCTAAATGTTAAAATACCAGTATTGTGTAGCACTTGAAGCCTTTTCAAGCAACTTAATTCTTTTAAAGAGTTGTGCGAAAAAAGAGCTATTGGAGTTTCTAAAGAGTTAAAGCTCTCACTACTTGAAATCTCTTCAGACACTTCAGCAGTTATATGACCTAATGGGGTCTTGCAAAGTCTGTGAAGTTAAGCATATGTGTACTTTTTTGTAGAATTTATAGGTTATGTCTTTCTACATTATTATTATTACAACCTGAAATTTTAATATGTAGTGGATAAATGAAAATAAAACTTAATTATTTCAAAAGATGTTTCCAATTCAGTATAAAATAACATTGTTAATACTAATGTGCATGTATCAAAGCTTTTTTATTCAGACTATGTCCCATTAAATATGATAATATTGCTCTGCCTTTCTCATTGTTAGTCATGTCATATGGGGCAAGGGCATAGATGGGTAAGCATCTGAAAGAAGAAAATCTCTCTTGTGAACCTATACTTTTCCATCACTTCACAATTATAGCTAAGCTGCTAGGTACTGTGTGTGTGTTTTTAGGTATTCTTGATTCCTACACTTGCCAACGAGTCACCAGCTTCATTTGCTATTTTGCTTTTATTATTGTACTTTTAAAAAGCCAAAGTACTACCAGTAGTACTTTTTCTGATGTGGTACTTTTTCAAATCTTTTAAAATGTAGCTTTCATGTTGTTTGCAGATGTTTGCCACCATTACTGTGTGAATTCTGAGTCATGTACCATTTCCGATGATGGGAGCGTAGAATGTGTCTGTCCAGTACGATTTGAAGGTCCAAAATGTGAAGTAGACAAGTGTGTAAGATGTCATGGGGGACACTGCATAATAAACAAGGACAGTAATGATATATCATGCAAGTAAGTGTGGGGGAGGATATTCAAAATTACATATTTAATAGCCGTTAAATCCTTTAAAACTGTAAAATCAGGATTACAGTGGCTAGCCCCTGAATTGTTCACATCAGAACAGCGTCTTCGAGAATGCAGATGGTAAATTCTAGGAGAACCTACTGGCTCCTGCCTTTTTTAAAACAACTCATCACTGGGGTAAGCATCATGTGGCAGGAGACTGAGCAGCTCTTCACCTGGAAAATGTTCTAATAGGAATATTTAATGAAGCTATCATGCCAGTTTTAGCACATTTCTGAAATTTCTTCTTCTTTCTGCAATATCAGTGACAGTGATAGAGACATACCATATGCTAATGAAAGCTTATATAGTGGGATGTGATGTGTTACTGGCTATTGTTTGGGAGTAGCTGGTTTTCATGAGCTTAATAAAAGGAGAGATCTAAAATATTTTTTGTAGAAAGCTCATTGCCTATGCTGTTTTTTTCAGGGTGGAAACCTAGAATTCCTGTAATCAGTAGATACATGGTATATTCCATAAAATAAGTATTTTAATATGTATATAGCTATAAGGTAATTCACACTGGATTGAAAAAAAATACTGATGGCTGTTTGTATTTTTTTTTAAACAGCTGCAGTAATGGAAAGATTTCTTCTACTTGTCAGTTGTGTGATGGCTACTGTTACAATGGTGGCACATGCCAGCTGGACCCTGACACAAGTACACCTGTCTGCCTGTGAGTATTTTGCACTGTGTAGGTTACTAAAATATTTGGGTGACAAAAAATATTAAAGTTAACATGTGTATACATTTAGGAAACGTAATGTGTTGTTTGCAGTGGTAGCTTGTTCTTTTTCTAGTTATTTCTATAACGCGCAAGTCTACTACTTGCAATTTCGATATCGCAAGATACATATATAAAGTAGCAAAATAGATCTTTTTAATTTATAACAATTTCGGTCTATGTCTAACACTAATTTAGGCATTTGTTCTGGAATGTGACGTCCACGGTGGCAAGGGAGGCACCTTGCTTCTCCATGAAGCATATGGGATAGGTAGCCTGTTGTGAAACTCTTGAAAATATGTTTGCCTGCCCCTGGTTCTCAAAGGTGGATGAAGTCTTATTCTAAAAGGACGGTCAGAGGTGGTGGTGGAGCACATCTGTAAGGAGCCTGATAGCTATAGGATAGGAAGAACAATTTCTCTGTTTATTTGCTGTATGTGTCTGAGGGTACGCACATGCATCTGTCTCTTCTGCCCTAACCTTTACACTAACTATAAACCAAAGCTGCTCTGTTGTGAGATTGCTCTCTTCCTCCTGCAGAAATACACCACTGTTGAGGAAATAATTCAAGATACATTTCTTAAGGCCAGACATCAAATACCAAAGGAAATATGATTCTTGTAGCCTAGATGGTAAAGTGCACTCTTAAGAGGTAGAAAACCTATTCTAGTCCTTCCTTGAGAGCTGTGGGGTACCTTCTTGTTCAACTGCTAGATGAAAAATATAGAAGTAGTCATTATTTCCTGCTCTCAGTTGCAATATCTAATCACTAACCTACTGAGTCGTACTTCCTTGAGAGCTGTGGGGTACCTTCTGTTCAGTTGAACTGCTAGATGAAAAATATAGAAAAATAAATATAGAAGTAGTCGTTATTTCCTGCTCTCAGTTGCAGTATCTAATCACTAACCTACTGAGTTGTTCTTTTTGTTATTATTATTGTTATTATTATTCTTGGCTAATAAATCTTCTTATTCTTTTCTGCACTGCAGAAAAGCTTCATTATTGAATAGTCTTCCCTTTCTCAGAACAACCTGAAGGTCAGAGCATTCTCCAGTAGTGTATGAGATGTTAAAAATAGTAGTTGAACTTCAGTATCTCATTTCCAGGGTGACTTAAGTAAGTTATTGTCCCAAGGGATCTGGCACTATGACAACTTTGTAAAGAAAATGCAGCCATCCCTTCTTTTCATTGATGAGTATGAGGCAGATGATCTTGGAGATGCCTGTTGTATCTGGACTCGGAGAAGTTAGAAGGAGAAACACCTAGATTTTGTAGTCCTACCAGTGTGAGAGAGGGACCAAGCTGTTCATCCCTGTGGAAGCTCAAGCATTCCTGAGTGTGCAAAGCTGTAAATGCTGTGCTATAGAAAAGAAACAATGTGTGCAGATGCACGTACATGCTGTGTGCAGCTATGAGGTTAAGGGCAGCTAAGCTGAATTTTCATGAATGCAGTTCTGTACTCTGGTCCTTACTTAACTGAAAACACTTTAAATGCTTGCATGCTTTCTCCTCACAGCTATGTTGATCTAGCCCTCAATAATTATTATTTATAGCTCTGTAAATATCTTAGCAGAGGAGTAGAGATTCATAGTTCTTGGTGAAAGAAGAATCTCACAGCTTTAACGTTAGACCTAAATATGATGATTAAATCTAATGCACAGACTTAAATACTTCAAATGGCTGTTTGGAAGCTTGTGATTCTTCCTTTCTTTTCTAATTGAATGAGTTTATATTTTTGCAAATTTGTACAGAATACCAGAACATCTCAGGGAAAACAAGTTTCATCCATTAATTTTTGTATGGATTTACAATACATAGAAGGCATTGAATACACCAACACTCCCAACTGCTAAGAAAACAGTCATGAGCTTTTTTTAAGGCAGCCACACTTTGCATCAATCATTACAAATGCATAGCACATTTATCAATAATACTTATTTAAGAATATTAGAGTCTTGACTGCAGGAATTTGTACAGGCGCATTGTTTTAATAGTGTTTGGTTAACATTGATTGTCAAACTTTGCAGTGCAGTATCAGATTGGACCTTCCATGTAAAAAGAGTGAATTATTTAATAACTGTGTGTGTGCATGTGTACATGTGTGTGCCTTGCCATCATTGTATGTACTGCGTTTGAATCTGTTCAGCAAAAGGCAGAATATTTATGTAGGTCTATTTTACTGAAATTCTGCAGATGCTCTGTGGGGTTTAAAAGTCAGCGCTGTGACCAGAAAGTGAACCCTTGTGATTACTACTGTCAGAATGAGGGAATTTGCACTTTAACTGCGTTTAATGAACCGAGATGCAAGTAGGTTTAACCTTCCACTTAATGCTGCACATTGTGTGACATCATTTCAGGCCACAGTTCATTGGTTCAAGTCATGCACATTCACATACATTTCACAATATATACTTAATCTGGGGGCTCGTTTCTGTAATACACACTTACCCTTTGATAGTTGCACTGATGAGTGTATTTAAACCTAGACTGTTGGAGTATCTATATCATTGGAGAAAGAAATAAAAATACTTCAATTGTAATAAGTGTATTGAAAATGTTGAAAATGCCACTTGACTTTTATTGTTCATATTATGAGATATTTTACCAAGTTGATCCAACACACAAAGTTTAGCAAATAGGGATACATGTTTTTAGTCCAAAACTGAGTTTCCATTTATTATTTGTACAGGGAAGGAAACAGACAAACTAGGTAGCTGCCATTTCAAGAGCTAAGCTTGTATTCACAAGCCTCTTTGTTAACCTCTTATAAATGGGCTTTGAAATAGGAACTATCAAACAAATAAAAGTAGGAAAGCTGTATCATAACTTTTTCTTCTTCTCTGATAAGATATACAAAATAGGTATATTTGCGTGCTGTATTTCTCTAAGGAATTTTAGGCTGTTTCTTAAAAAGAAAGTCTCAATCTTCACCAGCAGAAGAAACTAACTTTGCCTTTGAAATACTTTATGTATGTCAGACATACACAGTGATATGAAATACCAGTCAGAATTCAAGTCATGAGCCGAACACCTAGACGTTATTCGGTTGAAATGCAGAAACTCCAACAGCTTTAATCTTATCTCATCTAAATGCATGGTTTGTGAACACATGTTGTGCTGCGGGGCTCTGATATGTTTATGTTGGTGGGCAGCAATGAGAATTGTTAGGTGGGGTGAATAATTTTCTTATTTTATTGAGACGATGATCACAGTTCCTATGTCAGTGTTCTCAAGCAATGAAACTCTGTGCCAAAGTCTCTTGAAAAGTACATTAGTAGTTCTCATTGAGTGTACATAAAAAAGGAAGTCATTGTATTTGTTATTACCTGCTTTGTAAACCTCAAAGGCTGTGGAGCGGGTCTGTTTATCAGCATAGATGGGACATGGTTGTTTGGAACTG